ATGTTGTTTGGAGCATCATGGGCTGTCAAGGGCTGGGTCTAGAACCTCAGTGAGCTGACTCTAGTCCCTACTGATGCAAGAAGACTGTGTCCCTTGGGTGTGAGTGTGTGTGTGTGTGTGTGTGTGTGTGTGTGTGTGTGAGTGAGTATGTGTGAGAGTGTGTGTGTGAGTATGTGTGAGTGTGTGTGTATGTGTGAGTGTGTGTATTAGAGTGTGTGAGTTTGTGTGTGTGTGTGTGTGTGTGTGTGTGTGTGTGAGAGAGAGAGAGAGAGAGAGAGAGAGAGAGAGAGAGTGTATGTGTGTGTGTGTGTTTAGCACCTGAGTGATAAGCTAGGGTGTGGCTACAGAAGCAAACTCATCAAACCTCAAGCTTTCCTTCAGGGCTCTCAAGTGTCCCCCATCCCAATTGTTTCAGCCACCCATATTCTTAGGCCAAGGATTCTAGGACACGTCTCCCTGCTGTGTGACCTGGGCCCCCAGAAGGGAAAACAAGCCGAATGTCAGGGGAGCAACTGAGCCCAAGTCCAGATGTCTGAGCACCCACCACAGTCCTTTCTCCTCATAGCCAGGGAGGCAGAGACTGGAGCGCCCCTGAGGGAGGTGCTGAGCTGCAGGCCATGGTGTGTATGCATCTGGGGAGAGGAGAGGCCTGCCCACCCACCCTGATGGAGCCAGGGTTGTCCCTGCCAGGGGTAGGCCAGGCCTGGACTCTGTGTTCCTCTGGGTGCAACTGGCAGCAACCAGGACCCCCAGCCTCCTGAGGCTCTGGAGGAATGGGATTTTCAGAATCTGGAGAAACTCTTGGGTGACTGGGAATTTCTGTGGTCCTTCAGTGAGTGGCCTTTAGCTCTTATGGTTGCACTGGGTGGAGAGCAGAGGAGAGGAGAGGAGTCTCATAGCTTGGAGGGGTTAAATGGGGTTGACTGAGAGCGTAGACCAGCCTCATCTTTTCTGAGGGTTTTTTGATCTTCTGTTGAAGAGCGGTGTCTTGGCAATGGGGGGGGGGGGTTGTTCTGGAACAGGAGCCTCTAAAAAGACCACTTAAAGCTATGTCACTAAGGTGTCTCCCAAAGGATTCCCACGGAGGGAGGTGCCAGTGGGATGGCTTAGCAGTAAGGCACTTGCCCCCAAATCTGACAACCTGAGTTTAGACCTCAGGAGCACACCTGGTGACTACCACCGGCTGTGCTCTGACCTCCACACATGCACTACGGCACGTGCACGCCCACACACATACACATGAATGCACACACAATAAACATATAAAAGTGCAATGCTTTTTAAAAAAAGAATTCCTTGGAATAGCGAGTCCAAGGAGAAGGAGCAGAACCTGGCTCAGTCCCTAAGACCACTTTGCAGAAGAATTTTGTAGGTAAGATTCTTGGAGCCCCAAAGTCTTGGGGCAGGGGAGGAAAAGGAGTGTGGGATTGTGGTTGGGTTTGGGTTTTTTCCTTCCTCTTTTCTACTCAAAGGTATTTTTGCACATGACTCAAACAAGTCTAAACTTTCCTAAACTTCAAAGTTTACTCATGGCACGGCCTCAAAGTGGAAGGGAAAATGTTAAAAGTGGGGGGGAGAAAAAAAACAAAACAAAAAAACAGTGTGTGAGCCAGTTGAGCACTGCATTGTTGCTCCTCGCAGGAACTGAATTGACTTGCACCGCTATTAGAATCCCATTGTGAAACAGGCTTTGCTGTGTGATGCGATCTCTCTGCTGTTCCCAGGCTCACTCACTCAGCAGCCGGTGGGAAGAGGAAGGGCCTGTGGCCACAGGCCTGTTCACAGGTCATTCTGGTGCACCTGCAGCACGGCGGGGGGGGGGGGCAGGAGGGGGGAGCACGGGCAGATCAGCAGATCACTTCCTACCCCAAGTGCCCCCACTGTCCTATCTTCCCTGGAGAAGTTTGGCACAGTGAGTGGGGAGGAAAGGTCACTCACTATCAGCACCACTGGGCCTCTCTCCGCCCTCCAGTGACAGAGGTGTTACTTCCGGTGACAATAACTGGGGTCCTTCCCATGCCCATTCTCTTCTCCTACCTTCTCCAGCCAAGCCCGGGTTGCAAATACTAGCACAAGCTGTGAGTGCCCAAGTGCATGGGTTTCTAACTCTATCCCACTACTTAACCTGTGCCTTGCTCAGGCAGATGACTTCTCTGCCATCCTTGTCTGCAAAGTGCAATGATAGCAGGCCTCCTTTTCAGTGAGAACTCAGTTAACCCAAAGTCTCCTCCTTCCCTGCAGCTGTTTTCTCTGCCAGGACCCCTAACTTGCCTCTCACACTGAAATCCAGATCTTCGTGACCTGCTCCCCTCAGCACCTTGTCTACATGCTTTAGCCCCCTGACGAGAGCTTGCTCCCCTGGAATTTCCATGGCATTTCTAACTTGCCGAACTCATCAAGTGCCATGGATTGCCAGGAGAGCTGTGCCAACCGGCAAAGGCTCTCTTCTGCTGCCCCCACTGCTGTCCTTAGACACTCTTCTGATGGGAGAGAGTCACTTAACCGTCAGAGTGGCAGGTATCTACAGCCCTCCTTCTGCCGGGTACTAGTGTCAAAATCTTAAAGAGATGGGAGTTAATGGGGAGATGGACATGGGAGCTACAGAGAGAAAGGAAAGCTGCTCACATGGACACTTCAGGGGCATCTGGGGAGTGCGGGGTCTTCCAGAACATACCCTTTCTCTCCTCTCCCCAACACTGCATTTAGAAGCAACTAGCTGCTCTTAAAATAAAGCCCGGTGTCCTGGTTAGTTTAACTGCTGCTTATCTTCCCTCCTGACTTTTTTCAGGGCACGTGGACCACTCTCCACCCTCATCTGTAAATGCATACGCATGCCTGACACACAGACACACACACACCTTGGCACGCTGACTGTCTTTTGATTTTGCAAAACCACAAAGGCTTCCTGCCTCAGGGCTATTGCACATGCTGCTGCTCCTTTTCGTCTGGCTGATTCCAGAATGAGTGTTTCCTGTGGAAGGCTCTCTCTCTCTCTCTCTCTCTCTCTCTCTCTCTCTCTCTCTCTCCACCCCCCAAGTTCATCCCTCCCATCCATTCACAGATCAACATACATAAATGTCTACTGAATGAGCAGAGCTTACCACTTAGCACAGGTTTAATCCATTGTTTGTGGAATCAGCTGTCGCCCACCCTCACCAAGTCTATAACCTTCATATAAGGTCATTGATTGTCTTGGTCACAGTCACATCCTTCACACCTATCAATGTGCCTGAAGTATGGGGAGCTTTTCCCATGACCTCATCAATTAAATGACCAGAGCAGTGGGTTAGGCCAAGAAGGGAGAATGCCACTCAGACCAGGGAGGTTGGTTTAGCGTCTTTACAAGGAGTGGAGAGGACAGTGAACAAACACATGGCCTGTGGGTCAGTGCAGCTGACACGGGACTTGGAGCTTTGAGTTCTGAGCTGAGGGCTGGCGGGTTGGGAGTCAGCTGCCTAGTCTCTGCCTAGGAAGCGTTGAGGCTTAGTGTGTGGGGGTGACGGTGGGTGGAGGGATTGGGTTGGGTCTTAGAAAGCTTTCTCTGATGGTCTTGGCATGCTCAGACTGCAAAGGCTGAGAGACCAAAGTCAGGGGACAGGAGGGGGGAATGAACTGAGCTGATGATCAAAGACTGGGGACAGATTATGTGAATGACAATTTGGAAGCTGCACAAGCAAGGACTCGGAGGAGTCTTCTTGAGATTCCTTGCCATCTCCCTCAGAGAGCAAAGTTACAACGGTGAGTATTCTCTCTGCCTTACTGGGGTGTAAAGAGAAGGGCTTGCTCTTTCTCAGACTCAGCCTCCCCTGAAGTGGCCCCTGATAAGACTCACTTGAGGCCCCAAGAGCACCAGATATCAGCACTCTATGTGGACATCATCTCTTTTTGTGCTCCCCCTACCAAGTTTGGCCTACGGTTCTGATCAGGCAGGAGGCCCCCAGGGCAGCCCTGGAGCCTCAGAATCCCTGGCCTTGACCCAGAGTCCTCGCCTGCTGCAGGCGGTCCTAAGGAGGACTCTGTCCCGAGAAGCACTAGGACTCTCTGCTAAGGAGTTGGAGGACTGGCCAGGATGATCTCTGACTGGGATTGTAGTAAGGATGGCTGTAAGGGGACACCTCAGGCAGAGCTAGGCAGGCAAACCGCAGGCTCAGGCTTTCTGGGAGCCAGGAGAGGAGAGTCTTTGCTGTGTAACCCTTTCAGCACCACACCCAGACTGCAGGCAGGAGCCTGTGTCCTTGCCGACAGCTCTCAGCTCTGCGTTTTGTGGGCTGTGTGCTTAGGGCAGGGAGGCTGTGCAGCAGCCTCTGAGTTCACCTCGCAGGCCTCCCAGAAAGGAGCCAGCTGGAGCTGCTTGCTTGCCTGGTCTGAGGTTTGCAGTTCGTGTGTGTGGGAGGGGGCGCCAAACCACCTGGAGCATCCAGGCTCCCTCAAGTAGGCTGCAGCCCATCTTGGCTGGGAGGCGCTCCTTCAGCTAGTCACAAATGTTGGGGTGGGGGGATTGCATAAAGGTATGTCCTAAATTGTGACCTCCAGTAAAACTAAGACCAGCCCCTTGGGGATGAGGAGACACACGACAATTGTCAGGCAAAGCTGTGGAGAACAATTCCCAGAGACAAGGGTGATTCTTTCCCTCTGCGCCAGCCGGTGGGCTTTCTTTTGGTCCTTTCCTGGGCCCATCTCTGGCTGTCTCCCCACCCCCACACTGTCCTTAGCCTGGCCCTCACTGGGGGAATCCCATCTCCCCCCCCCCCCATCATGCTCCCCCCATCTCAGCTCGAGCCCCCTCTCTGGCGAGGAGGTCTAAGGCGCTCTTCTTCGCGCGCGTCCTGTCTGCCTCGGTGGGCCCAGAGAGGGGAGGGGGTGCAGAGCCCTGAGCCGCCGCTCACGGTCCCCCGGGGCCTGGGCGGGTGGGAGGTGGGCGGAGGGCGGTTGGAGCGGGAGGGGAAGAGTTAAGGCTCGCCGCTCCCCTCCCCCGGAGGGTGTGACCGCCTATAAGAAAGGCGCCGCGCTCCGGCACTGGGGCTGCAAGCGGCGGGGGCGCAGCGGCAGCGGAGAGCCGAGGCCGTCCCTCCGCCCGGGACCCCGGGCAGCATGTCGGAACCCAGGAGGAGGGGCCGCGGCCGCGGCAAGAAGCACCGAGAGGGGAGGAAGCGGGATCGGGAGCCTGATCCTGGGGAGAAAGGTAGGGCACCTCGGCGCGCCCAGAAACCCCATTTCGCTGGGAGAAACCTGCCGCCCGCTCACCCGCCCCAGGCGCCGCGCGGGTGAGTCTGGGGTGCAACGAGCCGCGCCGGGGTGACAGCAGCCGGGGCGTCCGCGTTTGCAAGCGGGTCGAACCATTCGGAACGGCAGGGTGGGCTAGGGTTGTGCGGCCCGGAGTCCAGTGGTGGCAGCGCGAGTAACTTCCCGGGCAGCGGAGACCGAGCTGCCCCCGAGCAAGTGGGTGCAGCGCGCGTCAGGGACACGGACGGAGACCGCGAGCGTACACACTCCGGGCCTAGCCTGCAGCACTCGGGGAGCTGTCACTGCCTTCCCTTTCCTGGGATCCCCAACCGGCTGGGCTCTCCAGCTGCCCCCACCCCTGTGCCACACCTCCATTCGTTCTGCTCCGCCATTGGAGCTTGGGCAGCACGCCCGCCACCTCTGGAGATGGAGGGGATGCCCTGCCCTGGGACTGAACCCCAGCTAGTGGGCCACTGCTGCTTCTGTGGCCCATGTGTACCCCAGAGAATGACCAGACATGGAATGACTGTCCAGACATGGACTTTTTGGTGATTCACTTAGGCTCTTGCCTTCTGCACCCCTCCTTCTGAGTGAGCAGAGCCCCTGACAGGAACCCTCGTTGGTGATGACCCTGGGCAGCTGCAGGGTAAAGGGGTATGTTGGCCTTGGACTTCCCAGTCCAGAGCCTATGACATGCACATCCTCCCTATGGAACCAGGCTCGCCTTGGGGCCCCCTTTGGGGAAGACCTGACTTCTCACTTCATTTTCCTTCCTCAGGCGAGCCTCTCCTTGCCTACTTTGTTGTTTGGTTTTTTTGTTTTTTTTTTAAGTCAACTTTGTACTGGCCTGCAAGCTAGATGAGTTCAAATGTCCCCCATCTCTGCTTACTCCCCATGACAGCTTCGGGTGCAGGTGGTCTTATCCCCATTCTACAGAGGAACTGGCTGAAGCTTTCTGAGGGTGAAGTCAAAAAGTACTTTGCACTTCAGATGGCATTCTCTGGACAAGTGTGCCCATCTCTCTTGGTCCACGGCCACCCTGGAGCTCTCACCAGGGCACATCAAAAATAACACTCAACCAGCACCCGACTGAAGGTTAGAAAGCTTTTGTTGTGACTGAGAGAAACCCGATTTTCTTTCCTACCCTGTATCTGCATGGTGGTGAAGGGGCAATACTGTATCTTTGTGGGAGAGCATAGGCGTCCACGGCACCTCCACCCCACCCAAGAGAGAACATTAAGAGCATGGAAAGACCAGGCTGCCTCTTTGGCCATTTCTGTGGGGCAGTTGTCTTGGAGTCTTCCTGAGGACTGTGGTCCGCGGAGCAGGAGGTGGAAGTCTTGGGACAGGCGCCTGACGTGTGGGGCCAGCGCCTAGGATCTGTAGCCTGCAGGAGCAGGCTTTCTCTTGCAGGGGTCGAGGATTCCACTAAGAGAACCTTGCCTAACTCTCCCTTTCCCTGCTTCTCGCCACACACACATCCTGACTTGGGTATGAGGTCACAGATGCGGGAATGAGCCTGGTAGTGTGACCTGGGTAGGCGTGAGCTATCGGGAATCATCGAGCCTGGGAAAGGAGCCTCCTGATGCCAAGGGTAGAGTGCTCACTTGGGGTGGGGTGGGGGGAGCTAGACCGCGGGAGAAAGATTCCATAGTCCTCAAGAATGATCTGTCCTAGCACCTACCCAATGAGAGAAAGTCCTTCTTAAGGTCTCCCTGTAAACTTTCTTCCCATCTCTTTTCCTAATACTTCCCGTGTTCTCCATTTTCAGGGGCCATCTGGCTCTTCAGAATGCCTTTTTTTAGGGATCTGGATGAGAAGCAGATCCCAGGCAGACCCAAGACAGAACTAGAGGAATTTGGGGGTACTTTGGAAAAATCTAGACTTGGAGGGCAAGGTCACACTCTGAAACAGGATTATCAAGAGGAAGTACCATGGTGATGAGAGTCAACAGCCTTAAGTCCCTAGCTTGTAACAGAAAGAGTCTGACTCAAAGCCAGAAGGATGAGTGATTAAGAGCAACAGTGGCCTTCAACGCAGAGGCCTCCTCTCTACACCTCCCCAGGCCAACCTGCGGCTACCAGAACTCTACCACATTCTCAGAGCGTGCCTCATCTGGCCAGAGCATAGGCACAGGGCAGCTGGAGTGGGGCCTCAGCCAGACTGGGCCACCTCTGACTGACACTGAGAGGGGCAGACATATGCTCTAGAACCTTCTTCAATGTGAAGAGGAACACTGTAAACCCAAGGGGTCAAGGAGGAGAGAGACTGATGAATTGGTGCCCCCAGCAGCACCCAAGCTCCTCCTCAGCGAATTAGAGTGGCAGTGTGGGGAAAAGGGCATTTCCCCTTCCTCAGCGCAGGAGGGCTGGGTGGGGTAGGGATGCAGGTATGAGCTCTCTTGCATGGCTCACAGAGAATCTGTGGGGCCAATTTCTGGTATCCCCTTTGGGGCTGCCCCTAACAATCCATGTTCCTTTTCTCCAAGGAATATGGCCTCCTTGTGGGTAGGGACTTAGGCTAAGTTCACTTATGTCTGGAAGTCAGGCACCTGGGACCCACTCCTGTGCCTCTGTGTGACGTGCGCATTTGCCCCTCTCTCTAGACTCGTGGCAGTGCATTCTACGATCAGCTCTCATCTCCTGCATGGGAGGCGCAGAGTGTGTAGAGGTGGGACCAACACACTTAGCAAGGAGCTCTGGCTATATAGCGTTTGGATTCCCTGCACACAAAGAAATCTTTTTTGAAGTCTTCCCTTCCCATCCTTCCCTTCTCCTGCCCATCGGTAAAGTGAATGTTCAAACTTCTAGAGCCAGCTCCGGTCTTCCAGATCCAAGGTGGTTGTGCTCACGTGCATGTGTCTGAATGGCATCTGGCGATTGGCACACTCCCCTCAGTCTCGGCCCCTGGCTGACCCTGCTGAGCTTGGCACCTGGAGCAATCCTCCTGACACTCCGGGGTGCAGCCTGCACCTCACACTCTGCTCTGGCTCCCTGGCACCTCAGGGCACCTCAGGGTTCATGAGGAACAGTAACAACAAACAGGGAGCAACTCTGTACTTCCCAGAGCCTTTCATCCTGGGAGCTCAAAGCAGTTTACAGACCAACACTCATCGCTCCCCAGCGCAGGTCCCAGGCCCTTGGTGGGGGTGAAAAGGGGACAGGGAGCGCTAGTCTTTCTAGATCAGGGTAGCAGTGGGGCTGGATAGGGCAGTGAGTCACCTGGGATGGGGTGGCCACAAAGTCTGGGACAGAAGTAAAATTTGACTGTGGGGTTTGGCTTCAGGCTGCAAACTAGGGAGGCGGGGTGATGGCTGCTGCTTTAAACACTGTGGTCCAGATCCTCTTTCCTCCACGTACATCCCAGGCCCTTGTGCCAGGGTGGGTTCCAGGAGCTACTGACGCAGCGGAACATGGTGGAGGGGGGGATGGGAAGTTCTGTCCTTCTTGCTGCCTTCTGTCCTGAGCATCATAAAGCTCCCAGGCTAGTCAAGCCGCCCAGACCTTAGGGCAGTGGCTAAGCGAGGACTCTGTGGAGGAAAGGGGACCAGGCACTCACAGGCCTAGCTCTGACCTTAATGGTGGCTTCACTAGCCCCCCTCGACTCCCTGGCCTAGAATCCTAGCCTGGTGCTAATCACACAAACTGTCTCCAACTCTGGGCGCATTAGTTGAGCTTCTGTTGTGTGAACAAACCTCAGATCTTGCCCTCAGGAGGCTCAGAGCAAGATGGTGCAGAAAGGAGTGAGGTTGAGGACAGAGAAATAAGGACCCTGTAGAGATGGTGGCATCTGAGCTCAGCCCAGATGGGAGCTAGAGATTTACCAGGGGATGAGCAAGAAGTGGGATTGTGTCCATCCCTGCCAGTGCCGAGTCCTCCCAGGCAGGGGAACTGAGACAGGGACACTCAGGACTTACCTTGAGACCAGCCATAAACTAACAGCAGGATGAGCTCTTGAGCTGATCTGCCCCTACCCTACCTTCCCCGTCACATCTACTTAACCCCAGGCTCTTCCGCATTCTGTGCCCCTCAAGACAAACCAGCAAGAGCCAGAGGCACCCTGCTGGCCACCTGTTGGAGCAAGCCCGCCCATCGGATCAGCTAGACAGGTACTTGTCTCCTGGGTGCTGCAGAGACAAGACACAAAGGGGACTCAGGGATGAGCTGTGAGTCCCTGCCCTCACCAGGTGCATAGAGCATGGCCCTGGCAGTCGGGTATAAGCAGAACTGTGGACACTGACTCAGGAGGGCAGCTGGAGGCCCTGAGCCTGCACCAACAGGCAATAAGTAGTTCCTGGGAATATGGAAGCCATGACTGAATGGTGGCCAGAAACCAAGCTAAAGACTCAGAATGCAACTGGATCTAGTTCCACAGTCAGTGGTTATCTGGCCCTAGAAAGCCCCTGTGCAAAAGATGTTTCAGTAGGAACCTGATTTAAAGCATGAACTGGGAGCTTGATAGAAGCGCACATTCTTGGGGCTAGGAAGAAGGCTCTGTCAGGAAAGTGTGTGCCAGGCAAACAGGAAGGCCAACTGGGATCCGTGACACCCACATAAAAAGCCAGATGTTGTGGCACACACTTGTGATTGTAGCGTTGGAGAGGTGGAGACAGGAGGACCCCAGAAGCTTGCTGGCCAGTTAGTCCTGCCAAATTGGTGAGGTTCAGTGAGAGACCCTGTCTAAAAAAAAAAAAAAACAAAAAACTGAGGAGAGTAATTGAGGGAGACACCAGACATCAAGACTGGCCTCTACAGTTACATGCACACATACAAGTATGTGCACACACATGCGCATGAACATCTACATATACAATACACATATCCACAAAGAAATGCAAACTTCTGAATCTTACCCTTGATTTATTGAATCAGACACTGTGGGGGAAGAAACTATGTGTTAGCTAGTTTCATAATGGATTAGGAGCTGTTCTGTTGACAACCAGTTTCACCTGAGTGTCCC